GTAGTTTCTCCGCCCTGAGATAAAATAAGATTTTTATCAAATTTTCATATGAAATGCTAAAGCAACATATAAGTCATGAAATTATACAGAAAATTTGAGTAAATATTAACTTCAAATCTGTGTCTAAGCACCTTTAAGGCTTACCTATTTTTTTTTCAGACCAAGTTTCCGAATAAAGCTAGGAAAAAGCAAAAACTTTTTATAAAATATGAGGCCCAAGGGCCTTAACGGTCTTCTGAGTATAATACAACACTGTAAAGAATCCATAAAATGACAATAAATGTTATAATTACATTAAAAAAAAACAAAATAAACTGATAAATCAAGATATGCTGCTCAAATAAAGAGGAGATCAACAAAATGACTAGTCTGGTCATCATCAACAACCAAAAACATAGATTTATATACTTGTCTGAATGTATCAGGGCTACCTACACGCTATCACCTTTTCCCTTGTATCATACATTACAATTTCTTCTCAAAGTTCTTCGATACTCTGATAAGAGAGATAACTCTTCATAACATAAATGTCTATTATTCCTTTACAAATTTATCAAGTTGAAGTGTCATTTTTGTCCAATTTTGACCCACAAGCCATGCTATAATTGTTTGTGTTTTACTTAAAAAATACATTTCTTTTGCAAAATCATAAGAGTTAAAGAAATATTTTATATGAGTGAGCAGAGGGTTTATGAACCTTAACTCTTTTGACAGTGGCATTACGGCTTTTTTGGAAGAAGCTTGCGTATCAAACTATGCACTTAGTTTTTCTGCTAAATACCAGGAGCAGAGAGGAAGGCTTTTAAAGAATTCATGCATTTTGACTACTTAATCAACTGAGCCCCGCCCTAACATCAGAACCCCTGACCTTGGGAGCATGAATTTCACAATTTCGGAAGCGACTCAAGTGACCTTAAAATACAGAAATATCTTGAAAGATCATTGGCAAAACATGGATGCAATACAAAATCACTAAAACAAAACGAAGTCGTGATACAAATAGGCGTTTTGGAAGTTCTCGTTATAGCCTTAAGTACGAAACGCGTCATTACAGAGATAGTAATCGTCTTTAATCGATGACTTTTCAACGTTAAAAATATATCATATATCTGTGTTGATTATTTGTATATATATCATAATGTGACAAATTTCTTAGGTTAAAAGATTTTTTACGTGAAATAAATGGAATATCGTTTTTAGCACCAAATTAGAAATTATGGGAAAGAGTTAATTCTACGAAGATAACAAATATTATCGTTGTATAATAGCATCGTATTGTTATGTAAAGGACTTTGTTCGCTCATATTGATATCACAATTCAACACAAAAATCACGACGTCTCTTTTTTTTTTTAGATCTCAAATTAATTTCGCTATTCATGTATGTTTACCATTTTTCAACAGAGTCTCTGAAAAAATATCATTCTACATTAATATATTTTTGAAAAAAAAAATCATTCTACATTAATATATTTTGTGAATAGGTATATCCCCCCCCCCCAAGTTTTTTTTTTCCTATATAAGGAAGGCAATAGGAAAATCGCTAGGATAATCAAAGTAATGAAAGTACTGAATGGAGTGAATACACCCAAAATAAGATTCCATTCAGTGATCACCCGCGATCCCGCAAACACAAATCCACAATGAAACAAGTTTCATATCACGTTTAAAAACATTTATAGTCCCTATTTAAAATAACTTTGAGTTTGTGTGGATTGTCGTGACAAAGGGCTAGAGATTCCAAAGAGAAATCCTATGAAATAGACTGTCAGATAAAATTATTTTAATCTTTAAAAAAAACAAGGTTTGACTGAAATTTGACTTCTACATGTATTAAATGTTTTGTTGTTTTATTTAGAGTACTCTTTTGTACGTTTATTTCAAAATTCAGAAGAAAGATAAGAAAGAAAAAATAAATAAAAGAAATTAAAATCTTCAGTTTAATGTTGAGATTTTTTTTAATCAATTTTTTTAACAAACTTCAATTTGAAAAAAAAAATCCCTCCCTCCCTTCTGGGTCTGAAAACCCTCAGGCGGGAATTCCAAACAAACCTTTTTTTAAGGATAGCCTTACATTTTAAATTTGTGCATTTATAATCCATGGATCATAAAATAAACATTTACACTCTATAAATAATATTTAATATATTATTCTCTATAAGTAATACTTAATATATTATTCTCTATAAGTAATATTTAATATATTATTCTCTATAAGTAATATTTAATATATTATTCTCTATAAGTAATATTTAATATATTATTCTCTATAAGTAATATTTAATATATTATTCTCTATAAGTAATATTTAATATATTATTCTCTATAAGTAATATTTAATATATTATTCTCTATAAGTAATATTTAATATATTATTCTCTATAAGTAATATTTAATATATTATTCTCTATAAGTAATATTTAATATATTATTCTCTATAAGTAATATTTAATATATTACATACATAACAAAATCATATCTCATATGATAAAGATTTTATAATCATTTATCAAATTACAAACCACTTTCATGCTACTATTGGCAAAAATAATGACAAAAAAATATATCCTAAAAATGAAAGGAAGCAGAAAATTTTATAAATGATGCATTACAGACACTACAACACACTGTCAAGTGTTTTTATCCCACATAAACAATGAGTGTTTTAAATAAGTAAATAAAATGTTGCAATAGTGTAAATATCACAAGTCATGTGAATGCAGTTAATGTGAAGGACACAAGAAAAATTTTGAACGAAATGTAGACAAGAAAAAAATCTTAAATGACCCAGACTTGCCAATAACCTGATCTCGAGTCAGGAATCGAATAAAATATTGTCACAATTGGAGTTTTATATATAATTATAAAAATATGATTGTTTTTAATTGAGTTAACATGATAAAAGAGCAACAAAAATATTAGAAGAAAAATGAAACACTGATTGAAATATACCTGAAAAAACAAACAGAAAAGAAAAAAAATTGATATGTTTGCTGACAATGATTTCAGACATTGTGAAAATATAAATAATCTGGTTTTTCCATATAATACAGGCAATGCTACTCTCTGTTTGCGCACACATATGAAATACAAAACAAATGAGAGGAAAAAACCATCCTCAAAAACCACAGGAAAATGACCCTCTGCTAAAGAGAAGAACTTTTGTTAAAGTGGATAAAACTCTAACAGAAAACAAGAATAAGAATAAAATAGATACAAGAAAATATGGAGCAACATTTTAGAAAACGCGATGATTTATCAGATTTAAGAGTTATCTTTCTTTTCTAGCAGAGGGTTATTCCACCTTAAATATTTTGTAATGAATAAATGACACCATTGTGACTTTAAATTTCCCTGTGTGTACAGATGTAAGTGTACTTACATGTACACAAATAGTCATATGAAATACAAGTACAAATAGCCATATACATTATATGTACAAATTATCACATACAGACTAGTAAAAGTTAAACTATTCAAAGATGAAAAAAAAATTGTCTTCATAATATCAAAATTACTACAAAATATGAGACATCTATAAATTCATTCATCTATACTGCATATTTTAAATTTAGATTTAAAAATGGCAAAAAAAAAAACCTAAAGTAATCAAAGCATAATTTTCTTGTATAAAATTCAACGGACAAAATAAATTTTCCAAAAGGTAGTTAACGTTATAATCAATGAGCAGTTAAAGTGGCTTTGTACATTAAACAAAACGGAATTCAATGATCACAAGAACAAACGATCACAACATGTTTGTGTTGTAAAAGGAAATAGATGAGTTACCTCCCCCCTTCATTACTCCTAGCGGTGTTTGTGTTGTAAAAGGAAACAGACGAGTTACCTCCCCCTTCATTACTCTAGCGGTGTTTGTGTTGTAAAAGGAAATAGATGAGTTACCTCCCCCTTCATTACTCTAGCGGTGTTTGTGTTGTAAAAGGAAATAGATGAGTTACCTCCCCCTTCATTACTCCTAGCAGTGTTTGTGTTGTAAAAGGAAATAGATGAGTTACCTCCCCCTTCATTACTCTAGCAGTTTTTGTGTTGTGAAAAGGAGATACACAGAGGTTCCTCCTCCTCCAGGGTCAACAATAAATTACTTGAAAAGGAAACTATTTCATCAGCAGGTAAAGTCTAACAAACACTTGGACTACAGTGAACTTACAAAGATATTGCTGTCTAAAATCAAATTTAGATTGAAACAGAGTTATTGCATAAGACTTTCGTTACAAAAATGCAATATACAAATTATAGAAGTGAGAAATGCAAACTAAGATGTTAAAAGAACAAATTCAGATCTGAAATCACAACTTCACTAAGGCAAAATGCAGGTTAAAATGTGAAGACTGTCTTAACAATTCTATATTTGCTGTAGTTTGGAGAAATGATTTACAAACAAGTAGCATCCAAAATCACGAAAATCTTGAAACCATTGCTATAAATTATCTTTCCTTTGAGAAATACAATCATAAAAATGCACCCTTTTCAACAATTAACATCAACATTTATGAAACATTCCATAATCAATTTAAAGTTATTTCTAATTTAAAAAGTACAAAATCAGAAACAGTTTGACTTTGGTTAATCTCTACTGTAATCTTACGAAATCTTATTTCATGAATGACTGAAATAAACATTCTGCGCTATGAAGATTTTTTTTAAGTGTAGTTTTTTTTAATATCCACTATGAACCTTAAAATGAATTTTAAATATGATGTTAGTTTTCTTTTTAAGTCGTTAACAACATGTAAATGATTCAAAACATTATATTCTTCAAACTATAATTGTATTGTAAAAAATAATACAAAATCAAAATAACTTTAAGTACTACAGAGAAATATCAAAATAATACATCTATGTATATATTTGCATATATTAACTGCTCATGTAATTTCTGGTACCCAGACAATTCTAGTTACTGACCATAATAAACAAATAAAGGGATAAACATCAAAAAAGTCCCAGAGTTTGGATTAATTGCCCCCCCCCCCCCCCCCCAAAAAAAAGTGTAGTGAAATAATTTTATTAAAATAACCTTTACAATGTATTGAAAACTTTTAATTTAATTACAAATCAAGAATATTTAATGTGCAATCCCCAAAATATTATCTTTTTGTAACTCATAAGGCTTAATTTTCCAAAACCTCACTAAACAGAGACAAAAACCTTTATATCAGGAAAATTAAAAAAAAGCACCCAATAAATAAAATTCAAATTCAAGAAGAGGGCTAAAATAGGCTGAGCTTGCTGCCCAATCCCATTCAATTTTGCGAATAAAAATTATTTCAATTAAACTAAATACAATTCAAATTTATGATGAGCTTACTTGCGTAGTTAGAGGACTGTTCAAAGGATTTACAGATCTACATATATATATATACAGGTACACAGAATAAACACTCCCATAATCTTACATACATGTACGTATGAATAATTATAAAATATCTATAGTTTGTGCCCAGTGTATACAAAATGTTTATAAGATAATCAAGCCCACTAAGCAATTAGAAGTTGCTTTTTCTAAAATCATCTATAAACTTTATTTCTGATTCTGACAAAAATGCATAGTTTTGCTTGTCTTGGGAAATAATTTCTATTTTGACAATTCTATCATAAAAAAGATGTTGACTTTGAAAACATTTGCTATAATAATGTATGTTTTATTGTATAAATGAGTGAGTATCACAAAAAGGATCATTAATTCCTGCCTTTCATATTGTCCTACTTTGCTTGCGGCCAGCGCTAGCACACTAATAACTAATTCCATACAAGGTTTCACCTTAACTATGATCTGACACTCTACATGTAACTTCACACTGCAAAACTATCATAATAAAATGTTTAACAGGCAATGCGGAAAATCAGCAGTTTTCCCCAAACAGCTCCAGTATAATGATTAATGCCTAAAACTTATTTATGTAAGACATAAACCACATAAAATTATCTTGAAATAGTTCAAGTTGTATGTATATATCATCTAATACTTGATGGCTATGCACTAATGAGGGCGATAGAACTTGCGAGAAAGGTGATCTCATTCAACACTCAATGGCGAGTAAATATTTTAGCATCTGTTCAATTGACTTACTCCTAAATCTGAAATTACAACATTCACTGGGTTGCTCAAAATCTTGGTCAGTATTAATCACTCGTTAATTCCCCAATCCAGTGGAAAACTTTTAAGCATTGGTTAAATTTTGTTGCTAGAAATTTATCCGTTGGTTCCCTTACATGCAGCTACCCATTGGTTATCAAATTTGACCAATTGCTAGCTTAACCTGTGGAAAAGTTTAATAGTTTTTTTTTTTTGAGCAACTTAGTCCTGGACATCACATTAAACTTGACTTACAATTTATCACACAGATGGAAGTTATACAGACTTCTCTGTTTTATTGTTATAGCCAAAAGCTGGTTATCAAAATAAGTCTAATAACTCTTTTGTTTACATATTTGATAATTATCTAGAATTCTGTTTTTGCTAGATATACATGTATTGCCTAAATTTATATGAACTTTTTCCATTTATTTTCCAGATTTAATGTAAAAAATTTTAATGTAAAATATTATATACTTAATTACCTAAAGCCTTTTCTGTAAATATTTCCAATATCTGATATAATTATTAAGCATTAATTCTAGAAATTATCTTTTGTCAAAATTATTGATACTTCTTTCCATTACCATTAACCATATGCATTGCCTAAATAACACTGAATCATAATACAAGTAGAGTTATCTATACTGAACTTAAAGCATTGTCTAGATAATGTTTAAAAAAGAGTTACGCTACTATAATTTATAATTATTTGGATTTTACCTTATGGATTAAGTAGATAATGTTCAAACATAAGATAAATTATAATTATCTTGATTTAACCTTGTGCATCATTTGATAATATTCATACTGTAACAAAAGATAATTCATAATTATCTGGATTTAACCCTATGCTTATCCAGATAATGTTGGATTTAACCCTATGTATTATCCAGATTATGATGGTTTTAACCCTATGCATTATCCAGATTATGATGGATTTAACCCTATACATTATCTAGATAATTTTCAAACATATGATAATTATCTAGATTTAACCCTATGCATTATCTAGGTAATATTGGATTTAACCCTATACATTATCTACATATTTTCAAACATAAAATAATTATCTCTAATTATCTGGATTTATCCCTATGCATTATCTAGATAATGTTCAAATGTCCACTTCTGAGAGTCTTTGTCATTACACTTCTCTGTGAACACCAGGCCATTGTTCTTTGCGTCTTTTTTATCCAGACACAAAACATCGCCACTAGAAGAAGTCCCTGTTATTATCATCTTGTCCTACAAGATAAAGGTTTCCTGGGTCCAAACACTTATCATATCGACACATTAAAACAGAGTAAACATAAGAGAGACACAGGAGAAGGTGTATTTCACATGTTTACATAAAAGATTTTTAGTAAACATGAACTAATAAATTTTTTCAAATTGAATTACACATATTGAATTAAAAATGTATATATTGGAGGTTTGTGGTTTGGGGTGATTTTTAAAGAAATCACACCTTTTGCTTATCATTTCTATAATTATGTGTAATTTACTATAAAATGCATATAGAAATAGGTATATGGGCCTTTATCCCATGTTTACCCCTTTATCCCATGGATATGACTCATTGGATAATTTTTTCATAATCCACAGTTGTGACGTCACAATGGTTTTTGCGTTAGCGCGATGAAGTAAAATAAAGTGGAGTCCTATATAAAACAGTGTAAAACATTGGTTGTGAAGTATTAAACATGGGATAAAAAGAATCTCCCATGATTTGTAGTTGGATATGACTTTTATCCAACTCGTTGTGTGTTTTTATCCCCTCGCCAAGGCTCGGGGATAAAAAACACACAACTCGTTGGATAAAAATCATATCCAACTACAAATCATGGGAGATCCTATATTTATATGGTAGCACCACTATTTTTACAGCATTCACCATAAAAGCATAATGTTCAAGTATTGTATCAAGTCTAAATTTTGAAATATGTTTCTGAATATAACAATTAAAGAAGAAATTTCTTAAATGTCTTTGCCAAATATAGGATACTTTACATATTAATAAATTTTATTTTTTACCTAAATTTCTAGTTAACAAGTCAGTATCAAGTCTGTTGAAAGTTTGACCTTGGTTAACCTTTCACCTTTGACCCCTACCTTATCATGTTTCCATTTCTGATTGGCTGACCCTGTACAGGGTTCCAATGGCACATGACCTCCCTCTGATATAACACTCAGACAGGCCTCTTCTCGCCGGAGCTCATCATTTATGCTCAAAGAAAAAACCTGAGGAAATTCAAAGTACTATGGGCCTGAAAAAACTAAACTTAGGAGTGCCTAGACAGCATTATTTGATGCATGTTCTTTCCACCAATCAGAAAATGTACCTCATTAGCACTAGCTCCATTCTGACAGCTGTACAACCCCATATCAAACACCGTCTTCTCGTCCTTTTGTAAGGTGTCCAGACAAAGGTTACTGGATGGATTTCTCACCTGTTCATTAGAAACACTCTTTAATAAGAAATAATATTACAAATTTCACATTATCTTCACTATCTTTTCACCTTTAAAAAAGATTAATCAAACAATCAAAACAATTTTAAAAATATGATTGTATATCTATCGCTTAAAAGAAACCCAGACAATTATTCAATTTATTAATTTGAAGTATATACTAAATCCTGATATCTTTTCCAAATTCCCTTTAGTTATAATTTTACATATTTTTAAAGATATTTTTTCCCTTTAAATTTACATCTCAATGAATGATGCAAAAAAAAAATCTTTTTAAATTTACATCTCTGAGGATGATGCATGTAAAAATTCCTGCATTAATTTAATATTGAAGAAAAGGATATAATCTTTGTATTTTTACCATTCCCCAGGCGTGGACATTCTCGTCGGGTATAAATTTTTCTGGGTACACATTGTCCAGGTACCACTTGAAGCTCTTACATTTCAGCCTCTTTCTGAGTTCAACACGTTCAGAAATATCTCCGTAATCCTGACCCTATAACATATTCTGCGCCGTCTTAAACATATCACATCAAATAGAATTTAATTCACTTATCAATATGGTGGAATAGAATGTAACCTATAATTCTGGCTCTAATTTTTATCCCTTACTGCCTTGTGGAAACAAGAGATGTTTGTGAAACACCTATGCTCGTACATGTACCCAAAAAACTTGATCTAGATATTTTTATGATAAATCTGTATACCAAATTTCATTTCAGTATGTGCAACCTCTGTGAAGAAAGTGCAAATAATTGTAATTTTTCTAAGTCCAAGGGGCATAACTGTCAAAAATTGCTCGATTGTACCCAAAACAGAACTTGACCTAGATATTCTTATGATAAATCTGTATATTAAATTTCATTTCATTATGTGCAACCTCTGCAAAGAAAATGAACGGAAACTGTTGGTGGACCGACCGACAGACAGACAGCAGCAAAGCAATATGCCCTCCCTTCTTCGCAGGGGGGACATAATAACAATTATAATTTTTACATAATTATAAACCTTCTGCTACTTTACAAAGCTCAATCTTGTTCTTACTTTACATGCGTATGGATTGCCACCATTAAAGCCTGCATTAGTCTCGTCCTGTACAACTTATCAATTGATTAATTAGGATCTGCCTTGTTAATTATATTATCTCACCAGTAAGTCTTTTCTGTGAGTATAAAACAGCCTTTTATATTCATCCATCCAGACTTCCGCCAGTCTCATAGAATTTATACCATGTGTGTCCTTATTGCCTGTGATAACAAGGAAACTGTCAATGACAATATGAGCCTCGTGATACACTAACAGTTGAAATTTAGTGTCTCCATCATCACCAGTGATAAAAGAAAGTGATTCTGCACAACTACAGTCAAACCTTATCATCCTGAACTTGTTGGGACTGAGAAAAAAATTCTCAATATCAGAGAATTCAAGATATCAAGGTTTAAATACATAGAAGTTGGAACTTATAACTCTTTTTGACATACATTCATGGTTTTCAAGATATCAGTGTTTGAAATACCGAAGTTCAACTGTATTAGTTTTCTTCATATTGTTTAAATTTTGCTTGCAATTGCGCAACTAGCAAATTCTGGCCAACTTCAAATCACTGGTCTCTGTTTTATCTACAGGTTACATGCATATTTTAGAGTATACCTGGAAATGTATATGGATGACTTGCTCTGAAGATGTGACCCACTCTGGAACAAGGAATAAATTCTAATTTTCCACCGCACATCCACGTCTGAAACAGATTGAAATAAATACATAAAGATATATTTTACAAAAATAATTTTTTAAATAGATGTAATATATCAAAAAAGGGTTGAAAGCATGAATTCATAAAAAAAATTTATAATGACATAGTACAAAAAGTATTAAGTCACAAGTAACTATGTAATATTAATCAATAATTTCTTCCTTAAGTAATCAGTTAATTCTTACTTAAGTTACCAGAAACTTGTTCTAAGTTACCAGTACCTTTTCCCTTAAGTTACCAGTAGCTTCTTCCCTAAGTTACAAGTAACTTCTTACTGATCTGATAAGATACCAGTAACTTCTAACTTACGATACCAGTAACTTCTAACTTACGATACCAGTAACTTCTTAAGTTACCAGTAATTTCTTTCTTAAGTTACTTCTTACTTAAGTTACCAGAAACTTCTTCCCTAAGTTTCCAGAAACTTCTTAGTATGTAAGTAACCATTAATTTCTTACCCTGAATGAAATTTCCAGATTTTCGCCGCCCCAAACATCCATTCCGGGGTCATAGGCTCCGATTTCAAAGAAATACTTCCTGTCCGCAGCAAACAGGCCTCCCGCCATTGTGGGTGATCTAATCAGTGAGAAAGACATAAAAACCTGATACTTAATATAACTTAAAAATGCATATATATTATACAGATTAGTTTCAAGACTGGTAGTTAAACTGAAAATTGAAATGACAGCTACATTTTGGAAATTAATTTACACAGTTATATAGCAATATTATAGTACTAGTTTACCATCAGTTACAGTAATCAGACTTTGTGTATGGACTTACAGTATCTATTTTGTTTTTTATAGCTTTTACATAAAGGTTAATCCTAATCATACAGTGGAAATTAAAAAAATTAAAATGAAATTAAAAAAATCATTAACTTATAACAAGCTATAAAGAATTTTGTACACTGTGAAGTTTTCTACGTTTATTAGTGATGGTTATATATTCTATACAAGGAAAGAAGAATATCTGAGATCAAACCAGGTTTTATTTTTATCAATATCAGCATAAAAAGAAACAAATAGTTACAGAAATATTGCATATAGTGTAATAAAACAGCTAAAACTGAAGCCAACTGATTGGTAACAAAACCATTACTGTTGTATTTAAAGACTCTTGCATTCTCTGTATGTGAACTCTATCAGAAATCCAGAACAAACATTATATTTAATTTAAATGGCATGATTCAACAATAACACATATAGAAAGAAAAAACTTAGTTCCAGGAAGGCTACCTGGTAGTAAGACTATGATCAAGCTACTGACTAAACCCCTCATTACATATTACATTGTTTTAAAAATGTATTAGATGAAATGTAACCTTGACCACTGCACATGCTCCATGACCTCTATGACCTTACTAACCCTACAGGGTCTGTGTACTTCCTGTGAATTTTGTCTCGGATTGGAACATCCCTCCAAGTAAAGTGCAGGCTCCAGGAGAATCCACCAACCTGGTAACCCCCATTTTTGGAATATTCCAAAGTGCCTGCATCAATGGCATCCACAATGGGACAGATGACACTGTTGGGAGATACCTTGATTCTGTGTAGGATTGGCTCAATCCTGAAGAGTTCACCAAAGGGACATAAATCTTACACATCAGGGTTATGTATAACAACTCTAGTGCGCCATGATCTCTGACTCTGTACTGTTTGTTTCCTGTATTTAATCTCCTCAACAAAAGTTGAAAGACCATATGTATTTACACATTAAGATGTTTTCATCTAATACAATAGTTTCCTGTTTTGGACCCCCCCCCCCCCCCTCACACACACAATAACTTCTCATTTTGGACCTCAGAAAACGAACACTAAAGGCACTCGGAGAAAAAAACCAAATCCATTTAACAGTCCTATGACTTAATTTTCTGGTTTTTAAAACTCATAAAATCAAACATCTGAAAAGCCAAGTGTGTATTTTAATGAATTTCCCATGATAAAAGTTTGACATGTCAAATTTACATGAAACATTTCACATGACTTCACGTATGTTCTTTTCATGTGAAAATTAATGTGGAAGAATTTTGGTGATTTCTCACTTTTAATCTCTCTTCACATGAATTTCCTGTGAAAATTTAAAATGAAATTTCATGAGCCATATTTGCATGTGACAATTAGAGCTTCAAATCTGATTTCTATTGTTCCTAATTTAAGCGTAACTTGTGTAAAACTGACCCATTAAAAATGTCTGTGCCTGACATTCAAAGAACATTCTGTGAAAAAAAAATTAAAAATAAATCTTCTCATTCCAACCTTGTTTTTAAACCACCTGCTGAAATGAAACTTTTAATTTATAACTGGAAAGAAGAAGAATTATAGTTGTTCCAGGAATTGAACCCAGTACCTCTTGACTACTAGTCAGTTGCTCTACCCACTAGCTGTCACCTACATATATGCAGGTCGACCAAAACATTACATTTAAAACAAATATTCCATAACACCTATCTCAAACTATTAAACAAGGACATGTTGTTTAATTATGCAAATGTCCTAATTTCAAGAATTAAATTTAGGGCAGAAATGAAAAGACTGGTTTATACAAGGGCATTAATACACATCACTCCAAAACGTCAGACTCTGTCAAAAGTTAAATTTTGTTCCCTCATCAAGACAACTGACATTAATGTAACAAATGTGTCAACAGAAAAGTTGGTTGTATATAATTACTGATGTAATAATCTCACATGATGTGGTAGTCGGGGGTCTTCAATATATATAATTTACAAAGTCATTAATTCCAAGATCTAAGTTCCCTTACTTAGATGTTATAATCAATAGAAAATCAAGTACTTAACAAAATCCAATACTGACTCATTAAGACAATGGCAGGTGCTTCCTCTGGAAGAATCTAGAAATATGATACATATGTATAAACACCCAAAAGTATGATGTAGATTTGTCTTTAACCATCAGCAGGCAACATATAGAAATATAATTATATAAATATGTGTTTCTATAATAAGACAAATCACCCCATAATATGTGCCCCGGGGCATAATGACTCAATACATTGATATTATTTACCTATCATGATATTTTTGGAATTTTTTCATTTGAAAAGCTTTTAACCTTAAATAAATGTACAGTACATTTAATTACATGATCTTTTCAGGCAGAAGTCATTATGATCATTTTTTTTAAATCTTTAATTGTTGCACTTAATTAATTTATCAGGCACTAACCACTAAGAATAACAAGAGATCCCCCAAGAAACACCCAAACCCCTGACCCTGGAACCATCAGTTTTAATAATTTTGTAAGAAGCACCCTTGCTCATCACAACTATGCACTCTGTTTATCTGCTCAATACAAAGGAGCAGACAAGATTATTAAATAGAATTAATGCATTTCCACTATATTATCAATAGAGCTCCACCCTTACACCAGAACATCTGGTCCAGGGGTCATGAAACTCACAATTCTGGAAGAAACACCCTTGCTCACCATAACTACACTCTTAGTTTCTTTGCTTTATAACCAAGAGCAGAAAGAATATTTTCAAAGAAATTATGCTTTCTCAAAATAGAATCAATAGAGCCTCCTCCCTCCCCCTTCACCAGAACCCTGACCCTTGGCCCATGAATTTCAAAATTTTGAAAGAGGCATCTTTGCTACTCATAACCATGTACTTAGTTTGTTTAAATAATACCCAGGAGCAGAGAAGAAGATTTTCAAAGATTTAATACATTTTCGCTATATAATCAATAGAGCCACACCCTAACACCAGAACCCCAAACCCAGGGCTAGGGGCCATGAAATTCACAATTTTGAAAGAAGCATCCTTGCTCATCATAACTATGTACTTAGTTTTTTTTAATACCCAGGAGAAGAGAAGAAGGTTTTCAAAGAAATAATGCACTTGAAATTCACTATATGATCTATATAGCCCCACCCTAGCACCAGAACCCCTGACCCTGGGGCCATGAACAGATGGCAACAGGTCACCTGAGTGAGTGACTCAGGTGAGCTAAAAATTGGAAAATATCAAGTTAGTGCCGGTTTGAGATCATCCAATTTACATCGGAAACTACCTTAATCAAGTTACAATCATAGTTAAATTTTTACAGACTTATATTTCAGTAGGTATTTTAAATCTCTAAAGTCAATCAAATCAATGTTAGTAAAATATAGCAAATTGTCAAAAAGCGCATGCTAGGTTTGCTGAGGCTATAGTTTTACAATACACCACCAATACAGAAATGTGTTTATGTACAGATAATCACACATGCTCAATATACTCAAAGCTCCATTGATTGAATCAGATTTTTTTTACATACTCACGAAATGCATAGAGTGCAGAAAATGCATATTTTAAAATCATAATTGAATTCTGAATTCAATTATCTGTACTGTAATTCAAATATTCAGGAATTAAAATACATGTAAAAAAAAAAATAATAATTTTATCAATCATTGATTAAAATCTTTTTAACTGTAAGTCAGATGATTTTCAGTGGACATTGTAAGAGCCCTTGAGTATATTGTAATATATGGTTACTGCATTCTGATGGATTTTAGTGGAGCTACATGCATGGATACCTAATGGGTGCTATGGCCGAAGACCGTCGATCTTGCTCATGCTTCGGAATCGGTCTCCAGGAGAAGTGGAGGGACCACCAAAACCCTCCCACGGAGAACGACCCCGTCCCACCGTACTGGAGCGTGTTCTTGTCGATGAGATCAATCTCCGGACACAGGACGGCTGTGTGATCCTCTTTGATTCGAGCCAATAGCGGCTCTAGCCTGTCAGAACAAAATTAACCACCCGCTCAATGACGATGCATGCCAATGCATTAGATCATCACCAGTAACCATGGTAACATAATATAAATATGAATGATAAAAACATTGAGACCCAATTGAAGCCCCACTGCTAAGTGAAAATATTGTCCCAAATCCACAAGTAATACCGTATAAGGGGTATTTTCTGTGGTTGGAAATTTTTGCGATTTGACCCCTGAAAAGAAACAAATTAATTTGTGCATTTTCAATTTCTGTGGTTGCTTTATACTGCAAAAATTTATTTACGGAATATGAACACCAAATTCTAATTATAAGTATTTGGCAGAACATTGCTTGTTGAATAAAGGTGCATGAAGAAGTGGTACAAAGCTCTTCTATATTCAAGTTAGTCTTCATAAACTATTTTAAAAATATTTTTATTTCAAACACCCGTAAGCATAATTCTTTTTCTTAAAATGAAGATATAAAATAACATTAATTTAAAACCAGGTTAACTGACATTCGCACCCTTTATCAAACTTGCACGTATAAAATATCTGAATATTAAAGAAATATTTTGGGATTGTAATTTTTGCAGATTTATCCTATCTGCAAAATTCGGCAAAAATTAGACCGCAGAAAATACCCATTATACGGTATATATAAACGTATACCTAAATGAAAAAGTGACAATTATGTGCCACGTACTAATGCCAAATACATGTAATAAGAAATTATGCCTGCTGTCTACATGTTCCAGGACATTGAGAAACCCAATAAAACATGAGCCACAATGTCTGACTGAGTACAAATAATACAACAACTTTCTGATACAAGGTACACATGACTGCTGAATTTGATACAGTGAATTTAATAGCTGTAGCAAATACTACTGTAACTTGGAAGGCTAAGGGTGCCATCAAGTCAGTGGTGACATCATCAGCCAATTGATTTGGAATGTGTCTGCAGCAACCATCATAAAAGAAATGCCATGTTCTGTATTTACAATGGCAGAATAGTGGAGCTTTGAGAAGAGTTCAGGACTTGCATGGTACATGGTTTAAATCTTGACTAAGTTATTTTGGTATCATGGTACATGCTACACACTGCAATTTTGATAACTGTCAATCTCAAGACTGAACATCATAAACCAGTTTTGTTTTTTTTTAACAAGAAAACAATTTAAAGAGTTCTATTGTAGCCATTTTTATATCCAAAATAGTCAATATGGCTTCACTTTTTTTTTGATTCATTAATTATTTGATAATTGACTATGTCTCTAGCATGACTACGGGTAAAACACAGCTACATAATCATGACATTTATTCTCTTGTTCATGTCAAACTGTGACACATAACCATAATATTAACCACAAAGTAAAGCTTTCAATTTGACAGAGAGCAGGTCTGTTTACAAACAATTCACAGACATCAGAGACCATGGGCAAAAAACTCAAAACACAGCACACAATGATTTTTTTGTATCTCTTAGCTGAAAATTTTCTTGTGTATGGAACTTACCATCCAGGGCCCGCTTCACAGTGCGAATCCAGGAAAATCAGCACGTCCCCCGTAGCAGCTTTGGCCCCCGCTAGACGAGCTCGGATCAGTCCACTACGCTCCGTCGTACGGATGATCTTCACAATCCCATCAGGCCAGGTGTGGGCTACATACTCCCTCAGCTTACTGCCAAGTTCAGCTGTAAACAGAGAGGAGAAATATATATATGTATATAGCTCAGCTGTAAACAGAGAGGAGAAATACAGTATATATGTATATAGCTCAGCTGTAAACAGAGAGGAGAAATACAGTATATATGTATATAGCTCAGCTGTAAACATAGACAGTATATATGTATATAGCTCAGCTGTAAACGGAGAGGAGAAATACAGTATATATGTATATAGCTCAGCTGTAAACAGAGAGGAGAAATACAGTATATATGTATATAGCTCAGCTGTAAACAGAGAGGAGAAATACAGTATATATGTATATAGCTCAGCTGTAAACATAGACAGTATATATGTATATAGCTCAGCTGTAAACGGAGAGGAGAAATACAGTATATATGTATATAGCTCAGCTGTAAACAGAGAGGAGAAATACAGTATATATGTATATAGCTCAGCTGTAAACATAGACAGTATATATGTATATAGCTCAGCTGTAAACGGAGAGGAGAAATACAGTATATATGTATATAGCTCAGCTGTAAACAGAGAGGAGAAATACAGTATATATGTATATAGCTCAGCTGTAAACAGAGAGGAGAAATACAGCATATATGTATATAGCTCAGCTGTAAACATAGACAGTATATATGTATATAGCTCAGCTGTAAACGGAGAGGAGAAATACAGTATATATGTATATAGCTCAGCTGTAAACGGAGAGGAGAAATACAGTATATATGTATATAGCTCAGCTGTAAACAGAGAGGAGAAATACAGTATATATGTATATAGCTCAGCTGTAAACAGAGAGGAGAAATACAGTATATATGCATATAGCTCAGCTGTAAACAGAGAGGAGAAATACAGTATATATGTATATAGCTCAGCTGTAAACAGAGAGGAGAAATACAGTATATATGTATATAGCTCAGCTGTAAATAGGAGAAATACAGTATATATATATATGTGTATAGCTAAGCTGTAAACAGAGAGGAGAAATACAGTATATATGTATATAGTTCAGCTGTAAACAGAGAGGAGAAATACAGTATATATGTATATAGTTCAGCTGTAAACAGAGAGGAGAAATACAGTATATATGTATATAGCTCAGCTGTAAACAGAGAGGAGAAATACAGCATATATGTATATAGCTCAGCTGTAAACATGTGAAAGGAAAATGAGTTCAGTAAATAGCTAAAAATATATAAGAGAAATACTGTATAATAATAATTATGTATATAGTTCAACCATAAACATGTGAAAAGGAAAATATGTTCAGTAAATAGCTGAAAATATATAGGAGAAATTCAGTTACTGTATATGTATATACATGTAGTTTAGCTGTAAACATTTGGAAAGGAAAATATGTTCAGTAAATAGTCAAGGTGTAAAATTGTAGATAAGAAAGTAAGCTCAGATAAGAAACAGCTGCTGTAAAAGACTGTGAAAGAGAATACAGTACTTGAGTTCATGTAAACATATAGTAACTTACAATTAAGTTGTTAACATGTAGACAATAGTGCACAGGATATGGCTCAGCTGTTAATATTTTAATCAACTGTAAACATTGGTTATAGAATGCAATGTTATAGAGATTCCCTGTAAAACATGTACTGTACACAAGACGATGGAGTTCAGCTCAGTCGTAAACACTGGACAAGAGAATACGTAAACAGGATAAAAGTTCAGAAGAGCCTAAAAATATGAACAATATAATACTATAAGGCTCAGCTGTATTATGTGATTGACAGAACAAAATAACATTGTACAAATAACGCTGTACAGCTCAGCTGTAAACACATGATTGACACTAACAGAACAAAATAACCCTGAATAGCTCAGCTGTAAACATGATTGACAGGGAAAAAAAACACTGTACAACTCAGTTTTAAACATATGATTGACTGGTGAAGAAAATGCTATATAGCTGATGAAATATGTAATGATTCCAATACTCCCCCAACACATTTAACCCCCATTTTCCCTCCCCCATCATTTCCCCACAAAGCACAAATTCTTTTATAACTGAAACAGCTTGAATGATACACTGATTTAATCTTTAAGGAGAGACACACAATGTGATATCATATGCATTTTACAAAATGGAAATTTTATCAAGATGTCTTTTGTCTCCCCAGTCAGAACTTTGTGTAAATTTTTCAGCTGTAGACATCACGACTTATTTTGATTCTGAGCAGGTACATGAACTAACTATACAGATGCATTATGTTGACAAAATCTGCCAAATATTTGCATGGTGACAGAGGTGTTTTCACATAGAAAGAAAAAATTATGCAAAATTTTGTAGAAACTAGGTGCATCCATGTCTTGATATGGTAATACGCATTAATGCCAGTTCATTTCTGAAAACCGAAATCTTAAAGCTGAGAAAGAAAAAAAATTGATAATCATGAATATATAGTGATGACTTTGACATTATTTCACTGATAGAATCATTAGGATAAGATAAACCATGCTTTAACTAGCATGGCCAGGGGAACTGTTTCTACCTGTTGTAACTTATAAGATACAGGAATCTCACTGCTGTAGTAAGAAATAAGTCTGGGAGTCTAATTATACAGTAAAAACTGTGTACCAGGTAATCCAACACCTGTGCAATCTGTTTCACTGTGAATTCCACCCCCTTATAATGTAAATCCCCATCTTACTGTTTTCTATGGTCTTTACATTGTGTTATTATCTGACCCCTATTTTAATCTCCATCTTAATGTATTCTATGGTCTTTACACTGTGTTATTATCTGATACCCTGTCTATTCCGACTCAAAATTTGTCTCCCAGTGCCTGTCAGATTAAACAGGTTTCACTTAACACTGCAACCAGGCCACTAACCAAGTGTGCCAGATGTTAAAATAAATTTGATTTCAACATGAAATAATATTGAATTCTACAGCAAGTAAAACAGAAAATATTCGGACAAGGGAAATAAAATGATAGGACACCAACAGGATCAACAAAATTCTAATTTTTCTATTTAATATAAAAAAAAAGAAAGATGACACTAAGAAGCCTATGTTTACATTTATCTATCCATTACTTATATATTCAGTGTCCTTTCAAACATAGGAAACAGTACAGGTTTCTGTCCCTTAGGTACTACGGTTCAATGTTGACAGCTTGGATAATCTTATTCAACAGTATGTACCAACAGTCCATCAATAACCTGTGTAGATCTATTATTCATTAATTAAACATTGATATCACTTCCTTATCTATGTGTATCTATGTGTACCTATGTGTATCTATGTGTATCTATGTGTACCTATGTGCACCTATGTGTATCTATGTGTATCTATGTGTACCTATGTGTACCTATGTGTATCTATGTGTATCTCTGTGTATCTATGTGTATCTACGTGTATCTATGTGTATCTATGTGTACCTATGTGTATCTATGTGTATCTATGTGTACCTATGTGTATCTATGTGTATCTACGTGTATCTATGTGTATCTATGTGTACCTACGTGTATCTATGTGTATCTATGTGTATCTATGTGTATCTACGTGTATCTACGTGTATCTATGTGTACCTATGTGTATCTATGTGTATCTATGTGTATCTCTGTGTATCTATGTGTATCTATGTATATCTATGTGTATCTATGTGTATCTATGTGTATCTATGTATATCTATGTGTATCTATGTGTATCTATTTGTATCTATGTGTGTCTATGTGTATCTACGTGTATCTACGTGTATCTATGTGTATCTATGTGTACCTATGTGTACCTATGTGTATCTATGTGTATCTATGTGTGTCTATGTGTATCTATGTGTATCTATGTGTATCTATGTGTACCTATGTGTATCTATGTGTATCTCTGTGTATCTACGTGTATCTATGTGTATCTATGTGTACCTATGTGTACCTATGTGTATCTATGTGTATCTATGTGTGTCTATGTGTATCTATGTGTATCTCTGTGTATCTATGTGTATCTATGTGTATCTATGTGACTTGCAAATATTCTCTGAATGGTAGAACAAAAATATAGCAATTAACCAGTTTATTAGGCCACAGAACAGTTGAAGCAGGGAAAAGGGGGGGGGGGGTGGTATCCATTTCAGGGATGGAAACTTGTACATTAATTTGAACCATAGTTCATGGAACAAAGAGCCATTTATTTTATCAATTATATATTTTTTAAGATCTGCCCTGTCAATATAGCCTCTATAGATTCAACTTACGTCTGTCCGAGTAATCGTCCAATAAGATGACCTCATGTAGATACTCTGGAGGTGACCGATTGACCACACTGTGAGCTGTTCGGAGTAAAGGGGACCAGGCCTCATTATGGAAGATGATGACAACACTAGCTGTGGGTAGGTCCCGAGGGTATCTCACACTGTGACACCTATATATATATAGAAAAAATGTAGGCCATATAAAATATCTATATAAATATCCAGGGTAGGGGTACACACACTGCCTGTGGGTAGGTCCCTAGTGAACCCTCACACTGTGACACCTATATATATATAGAAAAAATAAAGGCCATATAAAATATCTATATAAATATCCAGGGTGGGGGTACACACACTGCCTGTGGGTAGGTCCCTAGTAAACCCTCACACTGTGGCACCTATATATTATGGAAAAAATATCAGCCATGTCAAACATGTTAAATATCTATATCTACATTTGCAAATGTTTTCTATTATATAACACTATTGAAATCAAAGCGTATCTATATCTGTATAAACAAAGGTTCCTCGTGTCAATGTTCAACGTAATTTCTCAACGACATCATAAAGGGTCGATGCACAATCAATAGATCAAACTCATGCTGTTGAGTTTGAAAAATAAAACATTTCACGCATTAAAAGATTATAATCAGGCAAATATAAAATATGAATAAGTCACAAATGTAAATATAAGTAATAAGGTATCATTTTAAAACATCTATCGAGATATAAATATGGGTTGGTACGAGATCAAATATGTAACATAAAGCCCTTCGGGATTTATGGAATTTGATCTTGTGACGAACCCGAATCTATATCCCGATAGTTGTTTAAAAATGATACCTTATTTCTTAAATAAAAATATCCAGGGTAGGGGTACAAACACCGCCTGTGGGTCCCTAATGAACTTCACACTGTGACACCTACAGAAGGAGCAAAAATAAGTTTCTTACAAATACATGTATCAGGAGTTACTTCCCTTGAGTGTGCTCTTGTTTGTTGAAATTTGATATAGTCCCAAATCTTGCAACATATTTAGGTACAACAACATGAACAAGAGTTAAAAAAATAAAGCCATACTCAAACAACACTCACTCACAAGACATCTTAATTGCCAGTGTAATTAATTTTCTACTTATATCCCCTAACTTCATCTCTTTATTCTGAAGAAATCTACTGTACTGAAATCTTAAGCTTCTCTGCATCAATTGTCACAGCATTGTTCCCAGCTTAAAGACTGCAGACTTTCATTTAACAAGTCTCCAATATATAAAAGTTTCTCCCTATAATCATGATAATGACTATTGATACAGAATAAATGACTGAAGAAGCAGCTTGCTGAAGACTGCATTTATCAGTGTTTATATGTTATAAATTCCAAAAACATATATGTGTACTCAATTGCAATGTTCAAAATGTGTGGGTTTTTTTTTATGTAAACAAATACACTGTGAGTTATCACAAATAAATACAAGTACATCTTGATTAATATATGCATCACTGAACAGAAAAGATACATTCAACATGATATGATTTAGATGCAGAGGCATTTCCTTCTCTAACAAACATTTTACTTATATCTACAAACAGAAACTTGGAAAGAGCTGGGGACTGAATGATCGAGGGATCAGGAGTTCTAAAAAAATATATCCATATGAATCGTTTAATATCAAATTATCAATTTTTCAAATATTTTCTTATAGTCGACGTCGTCATGATCATACTGTTATAAACATAATGTTTACATGATTTTATGTTTAAGAAGCCAATTAAATTGAAAAACAGCTTTTTATCATATTTATAAGCTTAGGAGATTAACTAGTACTATATACCTGTTAGTACAGAAGGTTGATTAAACAAGAGTCTGTCTGTCATAACATGCAAATCCTGCCAGCTTTCATTAATTTATTCCTTCTTGTAAGTGCATTAATTAAATAAGTCGTAAAAAGACATCAAGTAAAATTAACATACATGAAACTCAACCATCACTTCAGAATAATGTTTTGCTTAAATCCACATTTACCCCAAAAAATATATAAATCTGAAATTGTATCACTTAAATCTAAAGTAACAAGTTGACATTTGTCACTTTGAGCTATAAGCATAAATATATGACATCATGTTAAATATCTCTGCCAAAACTAAAACACTGTTTATTACTGTTATTATAACATCATCATCTTCATTAGCATTTCTTTTATAGCAATGGCTTAATTATGTTAATAATTTACATCTTTAATTAACACATCTGGATGCATCTGTCACTGACACAATATTAAAAATGTGTATTTCTTTTATTTACATTCACTTTTCAAATCTAGTTAATTACATTTTCAACTTGATAATTAACTGTGTACAAAATGGGGTCTTGGGGGATTTTTTAATGAGCAGTTAATTAAACAAGTTAAAATGCCTGAAAACCTTATTTGATGACATTTTCATCGAGCAAAGAGTTTCAATAATCTACACTGCATGCTTTCAAGTTCTTTATGAGAATTTCACAAGAAAATTATTTAAAAGAATTTTAACAAATACTTTATCTACCAGAAATGTTTCTAGAAAAGCAAAGAGAAAACCTTACACAACAACAACAACAACAACAACAACAACAAAAGTTTCAAAAGTTTCAAAAGAAAGAGTGAAACATGGCAAGATAAAATTCTTTACCTTGAGTCCCTAACGTCGGGTATAGATCTGTCTAATGCAATCTTATCACTCGCTATAATATTAAACGCTTCTTTTTTAAACAGAGAATCTGCTAATGTCTTCTCCTCTCCCTCCAGAATCACCGCCCGCCCTTTCTCCCCCGGACCCTTACGTTTATCCTCCTTGGCGCGGTATTCCACGAATCTTTTCCTCCTGACCTTCAGAATTTCTTCATCGTTCACGGAGATTTTGGAGAAGCTGTAATAGAAATATGACGTCACAATGACCAGTGCCAGCACTGTCAGGATTTTCCAATCTAAACGTTTTCTCCTACCACAGAGACGTGGCATCTTGTGTTTATCGTTTTGTTAAAGTGAAAGTAAGTCCTAAGATTTAAAACCGGATACGTAGTAGGGATACTTTTTTTCCGGATTTGTCATCATTTCTTTCTGTTTCAAGTTAAATGTGCAAGTGTTGAGGAATTATTTCCTCTCCTGAAACATCAAAGGATCAAAATCCAGTTCCTGTTAATACAGCAATAAAATCTGTTCTTCATTTTATATGAACAGTATGATGCCCAATCTAACCATGCAACTGATCTAAAAAAAAAAAAAAAAAAAAAAAAAAGAAGGAAAATTCTAAACTGTCAAAACTCGAAAATCCTTTTTTGGGGTGGGGGTTGGGGGATTGGACCTTTCTCTTACTTTTTGGTGCATTTTATATCAAATACTGCAATTTGCAAGTGTTCGACTTTAAAGCAACAAAAAGTAGAAAGGGGGGGGGGGGCAGTATCTAACTGAAAATTTACTTATTAAAACTAGAGCAAAAGTATATATTTATAAAAAAAAATGTTGGGGGGGGGGGGTCTACGGTTCTGCATGTATATATATCATAATTATGGTGATCCTAATTGTATTGTAATTAAACCAAGGGAAATAACTCTAAAATTTGTAAAACAGAATGGACAGCTTTCCTTTTCAGATTGTTTTGGTGTCGGTTAAATATAGATATAACGTGTAGGAATAGCCAAATACACTCATCCCGTTGTTTTTCCTAATGGCCCTACGCAGGTGAGTTAAGGCTAAGTTAAGGCATTTCTATGCAAATAAACTAATTAAAATGCCTAAGGACTATATCTATTATACAGAGAAAGTTAAAACTTAATAATTTAATTTTGTTCGTATTCAAGCCTCTGATTGGTTAATATCCAAAAAGGAACACAAATTATTTCTGTATAACCTGGTTTGGTATGGGGACACACCCCCCTGACAACCAGCTGAATCATCTGTATCCATACAATCCTCTCATTTCCAGTCCTCGGGATTCATGGAAAATTCCAGATATAATAAATGTACCTTTAACTTCAAACAATAATTCGATCTTACCACATGTAAACAAACAACAAGGCTGCTAGGCCCATGTATCAGTTTTTACCTCCCCTCGCTTCCCATCACCTCCGTTACTTCCGTTACTACGGTTGTATTATTGAGCGGCAAATTTGAACTAATAAAAAGCAACGAAATTTTACACCCAAAGTTATTTAATGATTTTAAAATTAAATTATAAGGAATGACTCTAATTCTTGGCCAAATTATTCGAGTATAACCTGGTTTGGGTCAGTTTACGCTGTTTTATAATCCGCTTCGCGGATTATAAAGCGTAAACTGACCCAAACCAGGTTATACTCGAATAATTTGGCCAAGAATTAGAGTCATTCCTAAATTGTGTAATACAAACTTGGTACCCACGACATGAAATAGCCAGTACACATTATGACGTCATATTATGACGTCATTGTTCTTTACTACACAAGATTATAATGGACATCAACAAAAATGCTTCGGCGCAAGGGCATGCTCTATTTTATTTAACTGAATCAAGGTGTATTAAGAAGCAATATATTCCAAAGTTTGCTGGTATTGCTGCACAAATATCAACAGCTCAGTTGTATAATTTCTATTCGTAAAGTTTTCAGTTGAATAAGGGTAAAAATGTACCGTCCGGTATAAGTTTCTTCAAATTCTGATCAAATGAGAAAATGCCAAGGATTTGTGCAGCAGTTTTATTAATCAATAGAATATTCTCCTTAGCATTATACAATTTTTATATAAAAATAAATAGGGTAATCCCTTGCGCCGAAACTGTTTTGTTGATGTGTGATTTATTACCTCAGTAGGTTAGATCAGTGACGTCATAATATGACGTCATAATGTATACTGACTATAACATATCGTGGGTACTAAGTATTCATAAGAAAATAAATCAAAACTTTCTCTGAATAATAAATATACCTCTTATGCGTTTTTATTAAGCTCATTTGCATAGAAACGCCTATACCTAGCCTTAACTCACATGCGTAATGTTAATACGAACTGAAATTACATCAATTTGTGACCCTCTATCATAATAAAAACTAAAGTGTCAATAACCGAACCACATTCATCATTAAATTAGATGTTATGAGTGATGATTCAAGAAAAAAAATGAAATAGAAACCCCTTTAAAATTCTTCCTTTATCCATGGTATTTTTTGGTTATCAAGGATTTGTTAAAATCTGTTCTCTAATTTTTATGTAAACGTGTGGACCGTTAGTCAACCAGAGGAACAGGTAGACAGACAGACAGACAGACAGACAGACAGAACGAAGGACAGACAGACAACTAGATAGACAGACAGAATGACTGACGGACGGAGAGACAGACAAATCCATCTTCAACTTTCTTAGCTTGTGTTTCAATTATTCAGTTTTATTTTAAGAAAGTGATATTCAAGGCAGAATGCCTATGAAGGATTAATGTAAAAATAAAATCCTGTAATTCATAGTTTTTGGGTATATGAAATGCCTTTTTATCAGGTCAGAGCCATTGCTAAAGGTGATACACAATGTTGTCATTGGTACTTTCCACTTTAATTATTAATTTTCTAATAATAATTAGTCTTGATAAGTAGGGTCACACTAACAACTATATACTAACAAAATTCCTAAAGCACCATCATAGTAAATCTACCTTTTCAAAACTTGTTAAAGAAGTATCTGATATATAGATTTACTTTAGATAAAAGCAATGCGAAACTGATAAGTTTCTAAAAAAAAATAACGAAGCATATAACCATTTCATAGAAATGCATAAAATCATGCTCACATTTTAGAAAAATAGGTTTACAGTTTCTTTTTGTAATTGTGTTTTTTATGCTTGCATTCATTAAATACCCAGAAAAAAAACAAGACTGGATCCGCAGCGTTTGACTATAAAAGAGCTTGCTTGGGCAGTTAGTATGATTTGTTTGGATAGTTTTTTTTAATTAAATAATCCCAAAATTGTTGTTTCGTAAATAATTCTTCAAAAGGACAGATTTATAGAATCTTTAAACAAAACTTTGGATCTGAACATTATATTGATAAGTTATCTCCTAAATTTAGAAAAATATTTATAAAATTTCGAACTGCAAATCATCATCTGCCAGTAGAGACTGGAAGATGGTTCGGTATACCACTGTGTGATAGAATCTGTACACTTTGTAATAATAATCAAACTGCTGATGAATTTCATTATATCTTAGAATGTAAAACTTTAGCTGATGTAAGAAAAAATTACCTGGGCAATTATTATTCCCACAGACCTAAAGTTATTAAATTCGTGGAACTAATGTCAACCAAAAACGAAAAAATGCTGAAAAAACTATGTATGTTTATTTTAAAAATTTATGATGCTGTCTGTCCTCCTTGATATATTTTCCCCTCTCTTATTTATTTATTTTCTTTTTCAATCATATGTCATGTTTTTTGTACCTCTGACCAGATTGTATATAATGTATATATGTTGTTAATGAACCCCATGTACCAATAGTTTGGTTTGGGTGAATAAATTGAACTTGAACTTGAACTATTGGCTGAAATATCCTTAAGGAGAGGGATGTCACAGCTCTAGGTGACTACTAGAGAACATGTTAGGCACATATCACTTGATATCATTTGAAAGACACTGTTTTTGTGGCCTTTGCAGCTTTTCTTAATGCTTTCGATTAAAAAAAATGGAGTATATACATGTATTTTCCATAACGGCATCATTTTTGGGGGTGGGGGATATTGACGTGGAGGTGCAAAAAACTGTTTGCGGAAGGCAATTTTAATGATCTTTTCATTCTTTTAAGTAGATTGATTTTAAATTAAAGGTCGCCTGAGGGTTTATAACATTTTCTTTTAATATTTGTCAGCCTTTTTAACAGTAAAACTCTTTGCGTTGCCGAGTACAATTTTAGGCATATTGAATGGTCTTCGCCGACCAGGAATTTAATTAAAAAAATACCGGTATGTGTTTTTATGCCTCCATGTACTTTTTGTCCTTTGCCTTTTTGTACATGTACAGACAAAATGTAAGAGTACGAAGTGTGCATTGTCATTGAAATGTATATTTTAGATGTACACATTTCAATACCAGTCAGAATATGTACAGGCTGATATCGGCCATCGTAGAAATCAAGACATCGGCAAACTTGACTGCAGTAGACGAGACGACATGATAATCAGATTTACTAGAGCCGCCGACAAGGAATTGCTATCCACATTTTAGAAATTAAAAAAAAAACTTATTTTTTGTTATACCTGTAGAATTTAAGAGAGTGATTATCATGAAACTTTTTAGAAGAATAAGTAAGAACTCTGGTGCACCCGTTTCGGAGTTTATTTGCAAAATTCATTAATTTATAAGTATAGATGTAAATTTATATCATAGTTGGTAAAGATAGCAAGTTTTATCTCCAAGTGCTCATGAATTCTGAATTTTCCATTAAATATTGACATTATATTACAGGGAAAGAATACTGTAATGTGGGCCAACAGGATGGACAGTGAATTATAAGTCTTAATGACTGTCATGACTATGGAAAAATGCTGTAACCTTAAAGCTGATGGAAGATGATCTGATTGCATGGAATTAGAAATTCCTTGTGTTTCTACTGACCAAGATCTTCTTATGAGTGCATGGGGACTGCTGTGGACCTTCTCCTTGGAGCATGACACTTTATTCATAAACGGTACTCTTCAATATCATTTCTATGATTTTTTGTTCTTTCTATTAATAATCTAGTAATTAATTCCAGTGTTATGTCTCCTTCCATCACTTTTAATTTGTATGCTCCCAAGATCTTAGATCTGTCCATATATTGTTTTCAGCCTATCTCTTTGTTTGTCTGAATACAAATACCCTGGCCCAATCTTTTGAAGTAAACAACATGGAGACTTCACATCTGACACAAAAGGTATCACAATCTTGACCAAAGGTAATTTTAACAAGGTCAAAGTCACAGCAAATAGGAGTGGGAACTTTTGTTAGAATACATAATTTTGTAATAAACAAACACAGGAAACTCACTGTCA